AGGTAAAATGCTTTATTTTAGAGATATTTTAAGGGTTGCCATCTTTTAAAACGTTAAAATAAATTTAAATATCACGTCGAATAAAATATTATAATATGTGTGTCAAACGAGTGAGGCTTAAGAAAGCTTTATTTCGAAAATATTTTTGAATAGGGTTGCCGTTCGTCTATTTTTGGGTAGAATTCTACCTAAAATGCTATATAACCGTCTTAGTCAAAAAATCTGAATTCGAGAAAAAACGTTTTAAACATTTGTAATGTTAGCCTTATGGGGAAACGGGAACGTACAATACTCGAAATTACACATTTTGTATAGGTTAAGAAACAAACACATAAATAATAATTTTTTTTTTTAATTTAACCTTTTCCACTTTTTCGAAAAAAGTTTTTGTTCGCCGTAATTTTGCAGAACTTACTTTTTCTTTCTAAGGAACTCTAGAACTTTTGCTACTTTTTATATAATTTGTATTTTTTTAACATTCAACTTTTTTGACTTTTTTCGACATTTTCGACGTTTTGCGTTTTTTTCCATTTTCATTTCGAAAGGATACGATTTCGACATTTTCCTTTTCAGTAAAACATTATTTCGAGATTTAAAAAATTTTTAAATTTCGACTTTTCTGTTTCGACATTTTTATTTTCGGAACGGGAAAAGGGGGGACCCCATTGCTCGAAAGCGCTCGCTTATTGATAGGTGCTCTTAGTGAGAATATATGAGAGGCGAGTGGTGAAGTTTCTGGATATCTGTTGAGACTGCAGTTTTTCGATCCCGGGCTTTTCTTCATAAAGAGCTTTTACTTTCTGCGCGAACACATACTTAAAACTTTCATGATTAGAGAGAGCTTTTACTCTGTCCGCGTCCATATAAAATCTATAGAAAGATTTAAAGATTGATTCCCGTTTGTCCGAATAAATCTTCTTTCCCCATATTGACATTGAAGTATACAAGCACGATTCTTATGTCGCGCTGAGGACAGGAACGGCAATACCACTACTATATCCTTCGTTGTCAAGGTTGTACACATAACATAACATAGCAGCAGTAATTTTGATTTTTTTTTTCATTCTAAGTGATCCTTGAATTGTCATTTACATATGTTTACAATTTACTCTGAAATGTCAGTTTTAGTTTAGTTTAGTTTTAGTTAGTTTTAGAGTACAAAATCAACAACAAAACACACGCAGCGTATTGCTTTTGCTCTAATGCTGCTACCTGTTGATGTGTCTACATCGTTGATGGGCACCACTTTGCCCGCGCGTAAAGCTCTTTTAAGCTTTCTATACATTTTGTATAGGCACGTGCAGAGTAAAAGCTCTCTCTGCGCATCACTGGTTTAGTTAAAAAGCGCTCTTTCTCTTTTAACTCACAAAAGAGGAAATCAAAATTGATTGCACTTGTATTGATTGTAGTGTGGAGGAAGATGGAAGATTTATTCCTCACTGAGGAATTGTTGCGAACTCTGTCTTAAAATACACTACTCAAAAAAATTAAGGGAGTTTTCAAAGAAAGGAAATTATAGAGGCTATCTGATCCATATGCCGGCCTAACTGAAACTTTTTTTGTCAAACCCTTTGACCAAAAAAAAAAACAAATTTTCAAAGAAATTTTTTCTCTTTATCTGTCAGGATGACACGATAACCATAGCTCCTAGAAATTCTTAGACAAGAAATCTGAAAATTAGAACGTTAAAACTTCAAAATGCATTTTTAAAGTTTCAATACGAGCATTTTCCACCGAAAAACAGCCTACCAAAAATCACCGAAAAATTTGGATTTTGTCCGCCCTTAATTTTATTGAGTAGTGTATTATCTGCGTACATTTGTAGGTAAGGCCAGCCAACATTTGTATTCTTTACTGTCGAAGGTAGATGGATTTTCGTTGACCCCCACTTACAACTCGTGAACCTCCATATTTTTTTTTTCACGCCAACGTACACCCCCGTCGAGTCTCCAGTGGACCCCTGGGAATCCAACTGGACCACTTTGGGAATCACCGCACTAAATGAATGTACCTAACATTTGAGATTTTGTTTAAAAAAAAATCTAAAAATTTTAGAAGCTACATGTACATATGTATGTACGTATGTGTTTAGACATATATATGTGTTTATCCATGTATGTACATATGTACATATTCTTAGCTCGGCGCACTTTGTTGCATGATAGCAAAATATCGTATAGCAAGTATACAACGAAATTTCACTTAAATCGCCAGCTTATTTTCGAGATTGCGAAAGTCAAATGCTTATTTGTGCATTCTTTCATATTTTTTATTTTATTTTATGTGTTTCATTTTCCTTTAAAAGAAAAATTATTTCAAAATTTTGTATTTCTTGGCAACCGTTCTTATGTCCACATACCATGTACATACATATATACATATATTCTATGTGCGCTTAGTTTGCAGCAGTGCATTAGATACATGCCTATATGTATGTACATATGTAAAATACATGTACTTATGTATGTATGTATGTATGGTTGTGCATACGGACGTAGGCGCTCGTTCATACTAATTTTAGAAATAAGTTTGTTAAATATCTTTAAAATATCCACCGACATGTGAATGTACATACATATCGTCACCTGCAAAATGCAAAAAGCAATAACTAACAAAAATGTGTTTTTGCATAAAACGATGTGGGAACTTGTAATGCAACATAATCAATCAATAAGAAAATTTTCGATTTTTTGTTAGTTTCGGCCTTTTGTATTTTAGGGGACGATATGTACATATGTATGTATGTATATGGATGTATGTATGTAAAGTACTTAAGAAGATCGCCAAGTACAGTGAAACCTTCATGAAACTTAAAGCTCAATATATTTTTTCTAAAAAAAATCATATCTCCAAAAAAAGTAATCCAGCTCGATTATAGTTCAAATTGCCTGTTTTCTTGTGAAAAAGTTGAAAAAAATATAGTTTTTCCAAATTTAATTTCGAAAAAAAAAATTCACAAAAATAAATAAAATATAAAAATCGATAATTTTTTAGTGAAAAAGTGATTGAAATCCATTAATTTTTAAGGCCAGTACGCAACTCTCAAGAAAAGGGTCAAGAAAAAAATTCGTGTGTGTGTGTCCAACTGAAAACTGAAGAAAACTGTATACAAGAAACTTTCTTAGCCATTTCTTGTACGTCATTTTATATGGAGTTATTGCTTTTCTTGAGAGCTGCATACTGGCTTTTATGTTGTCTTGAAATGGATCAGGGTCAAATTAAAGGGTTTAATTTTATGAAAAGCATTTCCACATATTTTTAAATCAAATTTAATTCAAAATATTTAATAAGTTAAAAGGATTATTACAATTCGGGTATCAACCAAAATGGTTTTGGAAAAGCTTTATTTTTTAACTACTTTTTGAAGAGGTGCCACCTTTTTAAAAAACCAAATCCTACTTAATTCATTAGTTAATTGATTTGCATATTAGGGTGCTTTTTGCAATTTTGTTCTATGTAAATACCTAAAGAAAAATTTCCAGAAATACACGTAAAGTTTAATTTTCCCCTCAAAACTTTACAGCTCAAAGCCATTTTATGGTATAATCTTGGTCAATGATAGGGTTTCTTCAAAATATATATACGTCGCTGCTATTATCTCTTTTAAGAGACCAAACTGGTTTTTATTTTTCCAATATAACGCTATTCAATCCTTAGAATTTCCTGGTGAAATCGTTCACCTTGTTCATCGCTCATCGGACCTAAATTTGATGGGAACATATTCAAAACAGCAGGCAGATGGTGCAATAGGAGTGTACTCGTACCCGAAATATCAAAAGGTTTAGAAAACTTTTACTGGTTTTGCGTACGTGTACCCAAAAAACTTGCAAAGTATGGGAAATCGAGAGAACAAAATGTGATAGAGAGCTGCAAATTAATGCTGGAAAAATTTTTACCAGCGAAAACTTGCAAGTAAGAAAATCAGCTGATCACAAACACATGTTTGTAAATAAACAAAAGAAAATGTGGCATTTTTGAGTTATTTATTATTGAGAGATTCTCTTGTTTTTGAATGCGTCACCATATGATATCACACATAATTGTGAGAAGAATAACTTATTCATCCCGATATAATTAATTTGTATTTTAAAAATATTTTTCTTATCCAAAACTATTCAATTGTATAAAATGCCAAATCGTAGGAGAATGTACCAAGCAGAAAATAAATTGCCAAATGAACCACTAGGTGGCAACTGTGGTAGTGATCCGCTGTTTGGAAGGTTGCAAGTTTTTGCAAATTTTGCGTTCTCATACTTCTGTAGATATTTTGTCTCTTTGGGAATGCTGCTTAATTTCTCAGAATTTTTGCTGCTGGATAATTTTATCCGCTCAATACGAGTACACACAGTAATGAAGAAAATCGAGGTAATAAGTGGTCATATGAAAATGCGCAAAAATTTTTTGTATGAAATATTAGAAGGAAAGAATGTTACTCATACGCCATGTACACCTGAAAATATCTCAAAAAAATTATCCATATAATAAAAAATTAACTCGATTTTCGGAATCAGCAAGCAATTCTATATAGGCATTGAATACGTAGTGGCGTCCGTTGAACATTTTTCCTGTAAGCCAGTGTTGTTTTTAAGTTTTTGTCTTTTTTAGTGCCTTTTGCCTTTTTTGCTATTTTTCTAGTGCCTTTTCCTGCCTATTTCTCTATCTTATTTTGCCTTTTCCAGCCTATTTCGTTATTTTATTTTGCGTTTTTTTATAGGTTTTTAGGTTCTAAAAATCCGTTCCCTGCTTATAAGACAGCTAATGACATGAAAAATTTGCTAAAAATGCTTAAATATGTACAAAATAGTTACGGAATGTCTAATGCATTAATACTTAAATACTTCATATCAGTAGAATAAATTAATTCCACTTATTTTTTTTCATATTGTATTCAACAAATATTTTATCTCAAATCCGTGTTACACGGCAACACTCGATTGCGTAGAAAACTTACCTTAAATGTGTGTAAATTTTAAATGGGTGTAATTGTTCTAGTTTATAAAGCAAAAATTTCCAGTAGGCAACCTTTTTCGAGTCTCGAGAATGGCAATACTCGTTTTTTGTTTTCCTCTATTTTACTGTCATTCGAGATTGTCGGCATTTTCATTTCATACCATTCGTAAATATTATTAAACATAACCTCACAAATATACAATAAACAGAATAGAGTGTAGACAACGTTGTAAGTGGAATTGACTTATTCTATAAAAATTAAAAAGTGTTTCAAAAAGTTTTTAAGAATAACACGCAAAAATGAAGGAGACACCGCTTTCCACAGTTGAACGTAATTTCATTACACAAGCAGTCAAACAAAACTTGGTAAGTGATCAAATACCCGCTACAAACACGCGGTGCCAAAAAGTGTTTTCAATAAAAATAAGTTTTACTAAATTACCTTTCAGCGGCTTGATGGTCGGAAAAATGACGAATTTCGTAATGTAACTATCAATTTCGGTGCCGACTGGGGCAGCGCATTGGTATCGCTTGGTGAAACAAAAGTGCTCGCACAAGTATCTTGTGAACTAGGAGTACCCAAGTCTACGCGACCTAACGAGGGTATGATATACATTAATGTAGAACTAGGACAAATGGCAGCGCCACATTTCGAATCTGGTCGTAACTCAGAACTAAATGTACAAATTAGTCGCACACTGGAGCGGACTTTTAAGGATTCACGCTGTGTTGATTTGGAATCGCTTTGTGTCACAACCGAGGAGCGTGTGTGGGTGCTGCGTATTGACTTGAATGTGCTCAACCATGAAGGCAACTTAATTGGTATGTGCGAAAATGTAAGCTATAAGTTGTAAAAATGTCATAATAATTGTTAAATTTTAGACTGTTGTTCAGTGGCCGCGCTCAGTGCCTTGATGCACTTCAAGCGTCCAGATGTAAGCATCATTGACAACGACGTACACATACATTCCGCAGCAGAAAAGGAACCAATACCTATGGTATTACATCACTATCCAGTCTGTGTCAGTTATTGCCTATTCGATGATGGTCGTTTGGCTGTCGCTGACCCCAGCGTATCTGAAGAACGCACAGCCGAATCAGCGATGGTCTTTGGCTTGAATTCCTTCCGTGAATTGTGTTGTTTGAATTTAGGTGGCACAACTCTGACGAGCTCCACACTCTTACTGCAATGTGCCACGCGTGCAGCACGTCGTGCTAAATTTGTTGTAGACTACGTAAAAGAAACGCTGGAGTTGGATGTGATGGCACGAGAGGATAATAAAAACTCAGGTTTCACAGAATGTGTGCGGCTCAATAAAATAACCGCATTAGCGGAGAATCGCTTGGCGTTGCGTTTGCGCAATTTCAAATTCCAAGAAACTCTTGAGGTAAAAGAAGAAAATGCTATGGAAACAAGCGGTGACGAGGATGGTGATAGTGACGAAGATGGCCCGAAAAAGCAGAAAAGTATGTTGGTATTGGATAAAGCTTGAACAAGCCTATTTGTTTAATTGTAACTACTTTTTGCATGTACAGTCGTTTCCATTGATGCCAAGTCTGCAGTACTGGAATCCAACCAGTCCAACATCAAATGGGTACCCGAGGATGATGGCGCTGACAGCAATGTCGAAAGTATGAGCTCGGAAAACGTCACCGAGGAAGGTGAAGAAAGTGAGCGCAGTCTATCACAGCAAGTAGAAAAAGAAATGTGGAAGAATGCCAAGAAGGAGTCCAAGCGTTCGTTGAGTAAAAAGCACCTGCAACGTAAGTTTTCTTTAATACGTGTATTGAATATAATGTATTCTATTGCACGCTCATATTTTATTCTTTTAGAAGATGTTGACAGCGATTCGGAGGAAGAGACGAAAGTCATATTGTAAACGTGATTCACATTCGAATCATAAAATTAAATTTACACGCTGTATTTTAGTCCCTCGATATGTATATTCATGTTAATAAATGCGGCTTAACAGACATGAATCCTTGTGCTTTGTAGACGATTTGATTTCATATCGTAGCAGACTAAAACTAAATGAAATAATAATGGTTGTTAGTTGGTGGCTCAGAATGAAAAGCACTTTGCCTAGGACGTTAAGCCGCATAACACAAATAACATCGACTTTGATTACAAGTCCATAATGAAATGTATAAAAACACATTAAGGGTATTCTTAATCTTGCAAAGCCCTTGCACGGTGCACGGTTTGCAAAGCTGTCCCATACGAAAACCGGTTTTTACCATGCAATCCATGTAATCTGTGAATCATGCAAGGGTTTTGCAAGACTCTGAGAATACCCCTATTAACACCTTATTAGTATTGCAAAATTGAACATTTACTTTATTAAACAGAGTTGAGTAGTTAACTTTTTACATTTCTATAAACATATTTATGCACATAAAACAATATTTGTTTACATAATCGTTTTAGTAGAGATTTAACTGCACAATTCTGACTTTCGAAATTAAGTGAACATGAAAACTATGATACCATAGAAGCAATGTTATCTTATATCTAAATACATTTACACGAAGGAAACTTAAGCTAATTGATTGCTGCTATTATTGGCGAACTATATGTTTTTAGAACAGTAGCACCCATTTGCCGAAATGGCAAATACTTAACTACGCTTCCCTCAAGTTGTATCATTGCCAAGACCATTTTTCTGATCCAGCTTATTCGAATTTGATTTAACCATATATACGAAGTAGGTGATTATTTCCTTCTCTTTGATCGGTATCGTTTTGAAATGCTTCATGATTGTCTGGGAACATAAATATTAAATGAAATGGTTGCATAATACCCGAAGCATATTATAGTTAATACGCAAATTTAGTTCATACTCACATCCGCCAACTGTTGCCGTTTCATGCCGGGCCTTGTCTGCACCTTGTAGTGACGTTTGTAGCGCCTCAGCGTATTCACTTGCAATTGATAAAGATCAGGCACCATAGCATCAGGCATTTCGTTGTCTGTCTCGTTGCTATCTTCTTCGGAATCCTTGCGACGACGTTTGCTACGTGCGGATTGTATCTGGCACTTGTGATATTCACAGATGTAAATGCGCTCCGCTGTGGGATCATTACGCAGTTTCAGGCGTTTTTGTTGCACCGTTTTTTGTATGCGTTTGCTATATCTCGCATTGCCGGCGGGGTTACGGCAGCGCTCATCGTCATCGATGAGGCAACATGTACTATGCCCGTCCCGAGAATCTTCCTCACCCGAACTAAAGCCACCGTTGTTCATGGTGACGGTGTAATCGTTTGTGTTTACAAAATTTAAATGAGCAATTTTAATTTTTTTTTTTCACAAATAGTTCGGATATTTTGATTACTGCTATCAAAACGTCTGGGTTTACACAATTTTGTGTTTGTTTAAAAATCAATGCAACAATTACGTCGCAACCAAACTTTCACACTTCACTACCTGATATGCAATACCAGTTTTCAAAGATTCGTATGCCGGAGGTCACGTATTCATATTTAGTTTTCTATATGTATGTAGGTAATTTTTTCGTTTTTATTCGATGTCTTTAATCGACGGAGTTTGGAAGTTCTTTGTTCTGGAAACTTTTTCAAGTTTATGTGTTTTTAGTTTTACAAACACCTCTATAAATTTTTCTTTCGGAAAATTAATCTTAACACACGGACATTACAAATGCAAAAGAATGAAAATCGCAATTGATTGCAATAGAAAATAGAAAAATAAGCAGAATGAACACAAAGAGTATGGCACAAAAACGTGTTGCCGAATGGTTGAAGTTATGGAATTAAAATCGTTTTCTAAAGTTGCTTGCACCCTACCAGTTGTTAAACTAGGGGGCTTGTTCAAGTTGCAATCACAACCGCAGTGTTGCGTGAATTATTAAAGTAAAGTATGAATTTCTAGCAATCTATTATCAGTTGGGCAGTTGCAACAATAAGATTATCCTCATTTTCGAGTTTAACAGGCTAACCTAATATTTGCTGCTTGCGTTTTGGTACGCACGCTGTCGAATTTATTTTTTGCGTCACCCAAAATTGGCTGGCGTGCGTTTGCATTTGATTTCATTGAGCGAAACGTCAAGATGTGACGCAGCACAACAATTGGAAACTGAGTTGGCTTCATACGCACGTCGTTCAATTTCGGTTGGTCCCATACAAGTTGTATGTATGTATGAGAAATTTTTGGCAGCAAATTGGCGGCGTGCGTGAATATTAGGTTAGCATGTAACTCCCTAATCTTTAATTAGGAAAAAATTCGTCCATGTTAATCTGTATTTATAAAATAACAGATTTGTTTCTTAACAGATAGTTATCACTAATTCCTGCTAGAAAGCGTTTCTTAACCCAAAAAACTAGCAGCTCTCTCTCGTTCTTACGCTCTTATTTTTTTGGCTCTCCTGCTAATTTCTGCTAGTAAAATTTTTACTAGAAGAAACTAGCAGCTGTCAAAATGGATAAACAAAAATTCGCACCAAATATTTTCAATAGTCAAATACATCGATCACCTGTTTACTTGCTAGTTTTGCGTTTCTTTACTATATCTTTACTTCGCTCTCTGTGAGCGTAATTCTCTGTTTTCCCATTCTTTTTCTTCCTGATAATTATCTGCTAGAAAAGAAAAGAAACAAAGCCAATAGGTGCGTTCGTTTAAAATCTCCAACAGAAACCAACCAACTGCCAAATTCCGGCGAAATGTCATCTGTTCTCTCACAAGACAGAAATATCCAAAATAGTACGCGAACAGAAAATTTGCAGAAACTTGCAAGTTAGACGAAGAGCTGATATAATTTTTGTTTACATTCAAAAGTGTAAAATTTAAAACGTACGAAAACTCATTACAACGTGGTATCCTGGCACAGTTTATTGATTAAACAAATAACTACTTACTTACAAGTTTAATTAGTCGCATTTTGTAATTTTTAACTTCCAAACCATCAAATTCAATTTTGTGATTTGCGTAAATGCCCAGCAGCTGTTTTTGATCAGCTGTTTTCCTGTTGGCAAATTGCTGTTGGCAAAAATTTTTCCAGCAGAAACCAGCAGCTTCCCCTCAAAATGAAATGTCACTTTGCTCTCTCAATTTCCCCTACTTTGCAAGTTTTTTGCGTACGCGAACGCAAAAACTTGTAAGTTTTGGTTAAACATGAACAATTAACAGCTACGCGAACGAACCTAACATTAGATTAAACCGATAACCTTTCGATGTCCAACCTTGTGTTATCGATTATTTTTGCAGAGAAGAGGAGAAATGTCAAATGTAAAGATAAACAAAAATTGACGCTAGCAAAGAAAAAACCATGATAAAAATATAGTAAGGTAGAACCGCTGAGAGTCACTTTTAAAATTCTTGACGTTTCCAAACAATTTAATTTTTAAATTTACTCACAAACTCACACACACATTTTCATTTTCAATCTCAAGCAACAACAATTTCGAACAATTTCATTTTTTTATTTTCACATTTATATGATTTTAAAATGTTGGCAAACTTCAAAAAAAAATCATGGCCGACAAATTGAGAGAACGGTTATACTTTGCTATGTTTTTATCATGGAAAAAACGTTCAGAATTTTTCACAGTTGCTCTCCCAAAGAGAAAAATACAACAACAACCACATGGAAGAAAAGTTCTGAACTAAAATGATGCACACGCCTTAAACTTATAGCTGAAGCAAGGTGTGATTGACAACTCAGGTAGGCTCTCTTTTAATGTACTATTATGCCAAAAAATAGAAACAATCGTTTCAAAATTCATACAAAATTTTTTTAATTAGGATGATTCTTCTGAGAGCAAAGTCAAATTCAATCACACTTTGTTGAATACATTTAGAGCTGAAGGGAGTTCTGAAAACCTCAAAAGTGGTGAACGCCTAAAACGCCTTTTAGTAGTTGTACTCATGATAAAAAATGCTTTATGCGTTTATCATGGTTGTACTCAACATTTTCTAGACTAACCTAAATTAACTGTTCCGCAAATTTTCACGTTGTTGTTGTAACGGCATTCAGCTTCCCCAACTAGTTTTTGGGGAGTGTTGTTGGAGTGACAGTCCTTGGCTAGACATAAATCTGGGTCGTTACGGTCACGAAGACCCGACGTCGTGGAAACGCATATTTTCACATATTTTTCCTTTGATTTGAAATTTTTCATATTTCAAAAATAACCACAGCCGCGGCAATCGTACATTTCATGCTATAAATGTCGCCACGCATATTTTTGTGTTCGAGTCTCGAATCATCCCTGTCTTTTGCCGAAGTCTTGCTCAAAACGCAAATGAAAATTAAACGCCGATTTCACTTTGCATTCTTTCGCAAGTTTTGAAGCAGTGTAGTCGAGTTCGCGTTTGAGTTCGCAAATCAAATAGGAAGAAACGCTGGAGAAGTATAAAATATATTTGTCGCCCGCCCTACAGCATTCACTTAAGAAAAAAATAACAACAATTTTACACGTTGCAGTTGTTAAATTTTAGTTCTTTCAGTGAGTTATAAGTAAAGTTATTTCAATGCAAAAGTAAATTGCATTAAATCTGCAATAGGAAAGATCGAAATTGCAACGACAGCACAAATATAACAAAAGAATTCTCAAATAAGTGAATAAGTCGCGAAATACAAAGGCAGAATCCGAAAGTCGCGAATGTTGTCAGTGTAGTTGTACCAAGATAGAAAACGTAAAATCGAAAGAAAGAACGTCGCCGTTGCCGTTGTTGTCGCAGTCGCAGTCGTCATTGTCGTCGAAGAAGTTGGAAGAAAGAAAATCAGTTTAGTGCTTGAAGAATCTCGTTGGGAATAAAGAATTTCGCATTGATACATAAAAATTCTTGAAAACGCATATTAAACACGCAAAATGTCGGTTTTAAACAAGTTTACGAAAACACTGTCTGCGGATGAAAAAGCGGAAATATTGGAGAAATTCACAGAAGTAAGTAAATGAAAAAAGATGAAGCACCCCCCACACGGCAGAACTAAAATGCTTGTTCAGGAAATGTGTGTGTGTGGGTTGACAACTGAAGACGCTGACGTCGACGCCAGTGTTGGCTGTGTGTCGCCAGCAGCGCTTTAGCTGCAGTCACAATGCTACTGTTTGCAAAAGTATAATTGTAACTTTTTAATCAATTCGCTAGCTTAGAAAGAAAAGTTGCTAAGTCCCATTTTAAAAATTTTGCAGGAATCTTCCTATAGCCATTTTCTTTAACTATTTCGCAAGACTTTGAATCAAACATTTTGCGCGTTTAAAGCACAACAAAACTCCATAAGAATCAGAAGGATTCGATATTTATTAATAGATGTCGTATTATTTTCGCCTTATCGGATTTGTGGTGCTTCTCTGGACTTAGCAAATTTTCCTTTTATTGCTTATGAAGAGGAAAAAATAAAACAAGTACCTTTATAATTTTCGAAACGATGCGTATTCAGTTTCTCTAGCCTCCTATATCAAAATATGAGTTTTCATAAAAAGTGGACTTAGCAACTTTTCACTCTAAGCTAGCGATTTGCTTATTTTTGGGAGCCAGAAATATAAAAAAAATTGTTTTGTTTGAAATCGCCAATTTGTACATATGTATATTGAAATACCCGATGAGTCATATTGCAGTTGTGGTTAAGGTGGTGGTGGTAAGCTGAGGGCGAGGTCGTCCAACCGGTGATGGGCCATAGTCTAAACTGCGCTGCCTTACGCCGCGCAGCCGTGGCAGAATGCAAAGTGTTTTGCTTTGCAGACTTGTGCCGGTTCCAAACTCATTTATTAATGTCGCCCTTTAAAGGAGTGCCCAAATAAAGTAAAATTTAAATTTTATGAAAATGATTCAAAAGAAAACTGAACTAAACAGCAAAACACACAGCTTTAAAAGTAGAAGCGTGCACCCCCAAGGTTGGAAGTTCCTCTCAATTTGGGGTGGATTTATTATATGACTTTTGCCGGTGCGGTGTCGAGTGTATTTAAACGTTGCTGATTGGGGGATGGAGAGTCCCATTTGTTAATAACCGCATCCGTTTTAATGCCAAAATTCATCCTGTGATATAATGGGAAGTGCTCACTCAACACAATTGGGAAAAGAAAATGGAGTTTAGTTTTGAAATACACTTAGCTTTTACCACAATTTTTTGGTCTTGAAACAGACAACGCCTTTCGCTGCGCTAATTTGACAACGCAATCCCCTACTTAGTGCCGCACTTCTCCCAGTGCCTGCATGTTCCTTCGCTGCTTAATGGATGATCATTGTGGATATATGTACATGTATGTACATGTGAACATGTATGTATGTATGTATGTTTGTACATGTACATACCCTGTGGGGAAAATCTCTAGTTCTGAACTGGTGCGCTTCTAGTACATTTAGACTCTGTACTGTTTCGCGATAAATCTCCTTTGCATGCAAACAACTCCGGAATTTAACATGGCGATGTCCTCGGAAGTGTAAATTGCGCCCTGCTGCATCACTTTTTCGATAGTTCCGAACTAGTCCTGAAATCTATTGTTCTGAACCAGTTCTAAAATCGACAGACGAAAGAAAAAAGTATCATGATTTTTCTATCATTTTGCTTCTTCCCTATGCGATTTTAAATTATTTTCAAAGAAATTTGTTTTCAATTTGAAATTAAATTTGTTTAAATGATATCTATGTAAAGTAAACAAGCCCCGCTGCATCCCTTTTTCGATACTTCCGAACTAGTTCTAAATTCGACAGATAAGATCTAGTTCGTTTTGCTTTCCTTATTCTACATTTCCGAACCAATTCTAA